AATTGTATTCAGTCTCTTCTATTTAAATGCATTTATTTTTATTTTTTTAAGAAAAATGTATTTCACTACCTTACACTGTTATACACTGGCTATACTTTTCTAATAGACAGTAAGAAAAATAATAACTATTGAAGGTTTAAAAGATGTTCACAGGTTACCTAAAATTCTCTTGTTTATCAGGGTTGGTCATTTAAATGACAAGTAAGTGGGAAAAGGAAGTTTATCCATTCTTCTATCTGTACCATCTACCTTCCCTGTCCCCCAACCCCCTGCAAAAAACAAAATTGGGAAAAGTTAATGAACTGGTGGCCCTGTGTGTGCCACATGATGAAGTTACAGAGCACATATTTCTTCATATGTTACTGGTCTACCTTCCCTGTCCCCCAACCCCCTGCAAAAAACAAAATTGGGAAAAGATAATGAACGGGTGGCCCTGTGTGTGCCACATGATGAAGTTACAGAGCACATATTTCTTCATATGTTACTGGTGTTTATGGGTTGTGATTCCTCTGGCCAATTCCCCTACCTTGATGGATTTTATGCTGACTTTTTCTGGCAGATGCGGAGGTTAATCTTGGAAACTGTACAGAGTCATGGGGGAATTTATCAAACTCAGTTGGGAAAAGTGTCATTTTTCTCCCCAAATTTTGTCCTTGAGCGTCATCTGCTGGTTTATTTCGGAATTATCATTTCATTTCTGTTTTTGGTGGAAAAAGGGAGGTACTGGTTTTGAGTTAATGCTGACATAGTTAATACAGTTCACTACTTCTCCCACTTCATTTTCCAGTTTTCATATAGAAATTTTCTTCTATGGTTAGGCAGAGTCAACATGTGAGGAAGGTTTATCATAAAGTCTGGGAGAAATGTATAAAAGAAAATCATTCAAATTCATGTTCACTGTATTCACAGCATTCTTTTAGGAATGCATTGGCTAAAATAACAAGAGTAGTGTTTTCAAAATTGTGTCCTGTGGAGCACTAACCCTGGTAGATAGCACCCTCTCCCCCTAAAAGTACTGTGGTCAAAGAAGTTTGGAAAAAATCCTCCATGTTAAATTCTCCTCCTGGAGATTCAGAATCCAAATCAACATTTTCAATGCTCTGAGATGTCCTGCAATAAAGAATCTGTTTGATCTGGTTTAAACCAAAGCTCTGAAAATTTGTTTCAACATGAAAATCTTCTCTCCTTTTTCATGTATACAGACATTAACATACCACTAGTGAAGTACTGAAATACCAGATTTGTTCCTTATAAGGGAGACAAGCCATATTTAGTTGAGTGTTTTTCTTTAAAGCTGCCCTACGTGAGGACCTGGTATACTTGGCTTGGCGCTAGGTGCTTAATACACATAATCTTATTTAGACTTCAAAACCTGGGAGAGTATTTATTCTCATTTGCTGCTAAGAAACAGAATTTGAAGGATTAGTAATGTGTCCAAAATCATCTGTCTAGTACATAGTTAAGATTTTAAGGTTTTCATCTCTCTATTCATTCATCCACTCATTTATTTAATTTACTCAGTAAATGTTTATTGAACATCTGCCTTATTCTAAACATTGCGTCAGATGACAGACATACACTGGGCCTTCTAGACAGGCATGTTTCTTCCCTCCTGGCACTTATAATATACTGGAGAGTCATAATCAATAATGAAGCAAACATTTATTTTCAAATTTGGTACATGTAACAGTGGGGAAGAAAGTGTTTATAATAGAGAAAGTGAAGCGGTGTTGTTGATTTTGGAAAGATGATAACAAAGGGAATTCTTTAGATGGGGATGTAGTCATTGGAAGCCCCAGAATTTACCCCAAAACCTTAAGTCTAGAAGAAGTAGCCATACTGAGAGCCAGGGAAAAGCATTCTCTATTGACAGATCAGCAAGTGCAAAGGCCCTGAGACACAAATGGTCTGGGAACATTCAAAGAGTGGAAAGGAAGCAGTGTGTCTGGTGTCTCACAGGCATGAGGAGACAGCCAGGGTGCTAGTTACAGGTGGTCAGGACTTACTTATTCTAAGTGTGAAGGGAAGGCTTAGAAGGTCCTGAGCATGGCAGTGTCTGATTTAATTCATTGTAATCCAAGAGATGGCAAAAGGGGACAAGAGCAGAAGCAGGAGACTAGCCCCAAAGCCATTAGCACATGAATGAATCTTTACCCTTATGCCAGAGATGCTCCACTGCTCCCATAATTTCAGAACTCTTCTATTGGAATTGCTTTGGAAGATAGCATCACATGTGTTGAAAGAAAAACAAGGAAAAATAGAGACCTATATCATTTATCAGATTTGACATCAGATAATTTTAGGAAATCAAAGAGTGGCACCAAATTGTGTGTCACTGTCTTCCATGTTTTGCCTTATGTGGTTCTCCTGGCAACAGTTTGAGTTGGTAAGAGCAGGACTATCCTCTCCATTTCAATGAATGAAGATACTGAGACTCTTGGAGATTCGAGATCACATGGCTAGTGGGTAGAGGGACTGGCATTAGAACTCCAGTGTTTTGACTCCTGGTCCAGGGCTAATTCCTCCATCAGACGATCTTACCTATGAGAGGAAATCCTGCCCCATGGGTAATTCAAAGGCACGTGCCCTGAGATTGAAATGTTTTCAGAGGATTGATTGCAGCCCATTAAATTACTTATTTATTTTAGAGATGATAGATTCTTCGAGCAAATGGCTACTTTGGAGAAGTTAATATTGTTTTTTTCTAACACAGTCACGTACACCATATGTGCAGCAAAGAAAGAAGTAGTAGCTTAAGACCTGAGTAAATGTGAAAGAAGGACAAATAAACGAGGGTCTCAAACTCACGTGTTGGCAGGACATGCAGATGAGTGAAATGGGACAGGTATGGGGGTGGCAGGTCCCTGGGGGATGTCAGGGAGAGTGAAGGCCATGTCTGCAGAGGGCAGTCTGTGGCCACTTCTAGATGGTCATGCTGTGGCAGAATACGGAGCCAGTTTTGTCTTCCAGTTTTCCAAGAGAACAGGGAAATCGACATCCTTATGGGAAGTCTGTGGCTATTTAAATACTGACAAGCAATTCCAAATGTTTTAGGAGCCTCTGCAGGCAGGAGAACAGATCTGGGCTCAGATGTGGTCTACAGGCCAGCACCAGCCTGTGACCCTTGTGTGAACTGCAAAACTGTGGGAGGGGTTGGAAAGTCTTTCAGTATGTTTTCTGTCCTTAAACTAAACACAGCTTTCAAACCAAGCCAGGAAGGTTCAGATAGCCATCATGATAGAGGCTGGAAGTGTTTTCATTTTGATTTGGCTCCAAGTGAATGCTACCAGTCACTTTTCTTGCAAAGTCAGTTTAAAGAGCTACAGTTGAAGGTGCAGGCAAAGGGCTTTGCACTTGAAGAAAAAATTGAATTTTCCATTAATACTATTTGTATGCTGTCTTCTCCCTGCAGGGAATTTTATCAGACTGTAATAAAGGTATACCTGGATTTTTACTTATACTACTCAAACTCATTGATACAATTTCTGTATGTGTGTATGTGTGTCGAAAAGAGAATAGAATACACATTGAAACTGGCTGAGAGTCGGGAAGAAATTATTTCTCATCATTTGGAGTATTTTAATATTTAATATTTCTTTAATAATAACCAATGCTATTGTGTACCAGAGACTGTTTGACTGTAAACATCATTTTCTATTGGTTCAGATATGAGGCTTGAGAATACCTGAATTCGTGACTGCCCTTTTTTGTTTATTTTCGTTTTGATGATGTGACTGTAGTAACTTACATAAGGCTTTTCAGTTCATAAAGCTTTTTCTATTTCCTTTATTCTTAAACAATACGTTAAGGAGGGCAAAAAAAAATGTTTTCTCATTTTGTACAAGTGAAAAATGAGGCACAAGTTATGGCCTTTTTTGACTAAGTCCATGCTTTTGGTAGGAAGATCAAAAGCGGGACTTGGACTGACATCTGTAATCAAGGCTGTTTGTGAAAACATAATAGAGCATAAACTTAAGGTTTAGGGGTCACGTGCCATCTTAAAACTTTTTGCTTGGTTCAGTGTTTAAAAACAACATCGTTTGAGTGGGTGGAGGTGGAGTGTCCATGCTCCACCGAACCATGTCTTGCATCTACACCCACTTGATCCATTGGTTACCAAGGCTGCTGTAATCAGT